GAGCCTGCGAAGGATGCACTGGGGAGCAGGGGTAGGGGTGGGGGTGGGGTACAGGATGGGAGGATGGGCTGATGCAGAACCCTGGGGCGGTGGGCAAGGGGGCGCGAGGTGCAGTGGGCGCCGAGACCGGGGCGGGGCTCTGGCCACCTCACAAGTGCACGGGTTCGAAGGCGAACCTGTCTTCCACGCCGGGGACGCACACTGCAGACCGAGGAGAAGCTGGCGGTCGTTGGGCCCCAAAGGGGTCGTGATGGGCGGGGCCGAACGTGAGGGGGCGTGCTCCCCGGAGCGGACGGGGGTGTGGCTCGCGAAGCTGGCCCTGGCAGGGTCACTGTGCCGAGCGGGCGGCCTTGGGGACAGGGGGTCCCTGGTCCTTTCCCGCGCTAGGCCCAGCTTAGGGGCTCCACCCCCTGTCCCACGGCTCATTTCCGCCTGGCCCAGCGGAAAGCAGGGGGCCAGGAGCGCAGGGCGGAGCAGGCTGCCACCTCGGCGAGACGGGCTCCTCCTCCTCCTCGGCACCGCCCTTTCCTCTTCCTCTCAGTCCTCATTCCCGTCGCCGGAAGTACCTTCCCACTTTCCTAAATCAGAGCCGGAAGTTTGGAGGTCGTTTGTGTCCCCCGCACCCCACTGCCCTTTCCTCTCTCCCCGCCTTGTGTGCTCCTTTTATCCGCGACCAGTCTATACCCCTTCCAAAAGCAAACAAAAAACAGTACATAAAAATGGAGTCTTTTATTATAGTTCAGGGGTATCACCTTTGGGCGGCAGCGGTGGGCAACTTCACATAACTCTTCATAGGGGGCAGTGGCCGAATCTTGCGACCAGCCCAGCCCCCCTTGCGGTGCCACAGCCCGCTGTTAGGCCTCTTGCCCAGCCAGCGGTTCCGACCCGCTTTGCCAATGACCCGCTGGTCATGATCGACGTTGGATACTCGGCCCACTGTAGCCACGCACGTCTCCAGCACCTGCCAGACAAAGAGGAGGGGGAGAAATGCAAGATCCAGGGCAGGTGGGGAAATGGGGGGCCTGGCAATGGTGCCAGTGTGACTGCGAAGTTGTCACACTCGGGGAGATAGTTGGGAAGGTACAATACAGCTGAGCCTAAGTAGGAACTGGGTAGTTGAAAATGGAAGGCGTTGTTCCTTATTCCATTCTGGTGGCATTGTGATGAAGTGTGCTTAGGCATGTAGCAAAGGACAGACCCAGTTGGAGGAAGTTTCCAGCATCCTAGCACACCTGTAGCTACAGACGCAGAATCCCCCCCACCTGCACCCCACACACCTGCATCTGCCTCTTCGAGGGCAGTTGGATAATGACTGTCCCATTCACCTTCCTCAGCAGCACACCACACGTCCCTGGGGAAGGGAGGAACAGTTTTGCCACCCGCCAATAGAGGAGGAGGAGCAGGCTTCCCTGGGGGACCACATCCCATAGGCTGCCCTTGCCTTGCCCCTCAGAGACAGATACAATAAGAATGTCTGCCATTTTTAAGGTCAAAACACAGCATGCATTCATCCCCGTGCTCTTTGTTCCTTCCTTTCCTCTGCAGGCAGACCAGATGTGGGCCCATTGGTTCTGAGAACTGTGATGTTAGGCCCCCTTAGCCTTCCATACTGTGGGACCCAGAGTACTCCTTTCCCCATACCTGCGGCTCGGATATACTGGGCTCCTCGGCCCGGTTCACTTTCCACATTGTTGATGAGGGTCCCCACAGGCAGAGCCCCAAGAGGATGTGCATCCCCTTCCCGAGCAGCAACTAGAAGACAGGATTTCATCAGCTCTCGAACCTTTGCAGCCTCCAGCCCACACAGCCAACATTCACTTCTCACCTGCCATTCGCCCTATCTGGTTAGAGTTCAGGATCATATCTCCTGCCTTCATGTTCTCTGTGGCAATGATCCAACGTTTCCGGCTGCCACCAGCAACCAGAGCTATGTCAGCTGACCTGTTCAGGATGGATACGTGAGTGGAGCATCCAGGAAGCCCTCACATCTTCTGAGATGCTACAGAGCAGACATTTACACCACACTATCATCTTCCCACGTCCCAAACTTGCCTACAGGGATCGTAGCGGACTTTGATAACCTTCTCTTCAAAGGGTCCTGGCTTGGCCTCCTCCTCTGGCCGGAAGCGCAGAAAGTCAATCATGTGGTAATTGTGCTTATGGCCCCCACCAATACCATGGACTGTGATGCGGCCTATGGTAGAGACAGAGGATATGATCCAGTTTAGACTGGTTCAACTCCCAGCATCGGGAACTCTAATACTTTTGACTGATAAATTTTGGAAAGGTGAAATTGTCATGGCATTTCCTATGTATGGTCATTTGTCTGTTGTTTTGTCTCTGGTTCCGCATGCAGAAGAAACCCCTTAATAAGTGCTTAACTACGTACCTCAGCCACCTTACAAAGCATAAGTGTGTTATTACACAGGTTTAGGGGCCCAACATGTTTTTCTCTTTACTGGATGTCTCCTTGACCTTGCTCCCACCTGTGTGGTCACGACCCCCAGACTTCTTCATCTTCACTGGTGTAATCGTGTACTTGGTATGACTCTTCCAGGACACAGACTTGGCATTAAGGGCCACAGAAGTAAGGAGTGGGCGGCAAGGGAGCGACATTAAGGTAGAGGGAAGTTCGAGGTGAGCATTGCTCATCACCTAGAAATACAAAGAAATCGAATTCATTTGAAAACTAATTGAAGGAGAAGCCTCAGAGAATCAAGGAAAGGGCACAGACTTCCTAGAAGTGTCCCAGACCAGCTGTCCAAAACCTCCACTCTCCATAGCTTGTACAAATATCAGTTCAGTGTTTATGCAGGTGTTACAGTTCAGCACCTCTCCTTGTTTGAGTGTCTCACCTCTCAAGTACTTCTTCAATGGGATGTTCTCACCTTGGTCATCTCCTTTCACCTTTAGCTGAAAATCTCCTCCTCTGGAAGCTTTTGTTCCTACAGTTTTCTCTAGAACCAGTAACCAAATACCACTGTCAACACTGAGGCCTTTTGCCCTCGGTGTTGTTCTTGGAATTTCCCATATATGAATGGAGAAGGACCATTTCTGTCTTGTTCCTTGCTGGATTCCTTGTTGGTTTCTTAGAGTAGAGTAGATTAGTTTGGTTTGCAACTTATACATGCCAAACTCTAACATAATGAGCCTCAGAACCCCAGAGGAGCACTGACTTATCTTTCTGTAATTAGCCAGTTGCCCACTAGGGAACTGGGAAACCCTCTCCTGAGACCCCCAGTTCTTGGAATCTTGTCCTGGATTCTCTAATCTCAGCAATAACCAACGGCATCCTTGTAGGTATCATAATGGTTAAAAGCACAGGTTGGGCAGGGGGTTAAGTAGCTCAGCAGTAGTGCAGCGCTTAGCTCTGCTAGTTCTTAGGCCCTGGTTTCAATTCCCATCACCAAGAGGGGTAGGCAGCCTCTAAAGCCAGACTCCCTAGCTCCAAGCTCTCATAGTTGGTGTATGACCTTGGACTGTTCATTGGTTTTCTCGCCTGTAAAATGGGAATGCTAACAACTATCTTATAGAGAGGTTGAAAGGAGTTCATTTACATATTTGAAATGCTTTTTGTTTGGTTTTGTTTTTTTGAAACAGGGTCTTGCTATGCAGTTCAGGCTGGCCTAGAATTCACCATGTAGCCCAGGCTAGCCTTGAGCTCGTGGCAATCCTCCTGCCCAAGCCTCCCAAGTGCTGGGGTCACAGGCGTGCGCCATCGCGCCGGACCGTAACTGAAAAGTCTATTACGCATCTCTTCTTAAGCATAAGCACTCAACAACCTGTACAATCGGTGACCTGAAAAACACTTGCACTCCTGGATCTCATCCAAAGAATCTCGCCTTATGAGACAGCTCTTTGATAAAGGAGAAAGCTGAGGCCGAAAGTGATTTATCCGAGGTCCCGGGCCTGCGTGACCGGATCAGACTCGCTCGCAACCCGTTTCCCATCCCCTCCTGCCCACTCTCCGGCAGCCCAAACAGGTACGGCCTCCTCGTTGGGTAATGCGGATTACCTGGGCGGCAGGGAGCAGACGAGGGGCGGGTGCAGTAAAGGCCGGGGGCGCCAGGCTCAAAGAGCCCAAAGCGCGGGTCAGAGACCACAGGGACATGGGGGGTAGATAGAAACCTCAGAGCTCAGCTCGCTACTCCCAATGCGAGCCAGGCTGCCCGGCGCTCCTATGTAACGTCACTGGTCTGACACAGTCTCTTTCTAATGACGTAAAAGAAGCCGGACAGAGAACTGGAGGCCGCGCGGAAGAAATGCCTCTGGTCCTTCCAGAGCGTGTTCAGAACCAATCCTCGCGCATCCTGAGGTCTCGTGAATGAGGAACCGGCCCCGCCCCCGAAAGCCGTCAAAACAATTGCCTCGAGCGGCAGCCATGATGGATTTAAAGGGGCAGTACCGGCAAAGGCGGCAGCCAGACCGAGAGATTGCAGGTGAGTCTTTGAGGGTACCGCTGGGGCAGAGGAATAGTCTTGGCCATCTCTTATTCCTGCACTCCCAGATATATGAACAAGCCCCTCTCCGATGAACCTCACGAAACTCCGATTCAAAACTCCGCCCCCCGTGATTCTTCCCCGCCCCCCGACGTCCAGACGGACAGACAGACGGCCCGCCCCGCCCCCTGCGCGCGGACCAGAGTTGACCTCGCGGTATCTGATTCCGGCCAGCAACGCAGACCTCGGACCTCCATCCACACTCGGTCCCTTGGCTCCCTCTTGTCTGTCACCCTGGCCCCACCCTAGGCCCTGGGGCCGGTTCGCAGCCCAAGTGCGGGCGACCTGCTGCCCCTGTCCCTAGGACAGAGGCGAGGCTCTCAGCAGTTCTCCCATTCTTCTCGGGACCAGGAGGCCCCTGGGAGGCACCCTAAGGTGATTCCTCCCAGAACATGTTATAAGCGATGGTGACAGACAAAGCCGTGGAAGTAACCGGGCGAGGAGTGACCGGGTCTCCTCTTCACCCGGTCTCAAACACGCCCCTGGCCCGCAGGTCTCTGATTAAATCTGTGTCTTCCTTTTTGGGAGAAAGTAGATCCCCAGGCCTTGGGTGGGGAAGGAGGAGGGACATTGGTCGTCTGACGACCTGTAGGCAGGAAGGAGGGTGTTTGTCCTGGGTGGGGCTCTGTGCCAGGTCTTCTGGGTGGCTGAAGTGGCTAGAGAAGGGGTGGGACGGACGGACTTCTGGACTTTGGGCAGAGCAGATCCTTCTGAGTAGAATTTCTTCCCGGCCAGGCCTGAGCGCTGTAGCCAAGGGCTCTGCTCTGTACACAGGTAAGAGGACTTCAAAGGCTAGGCGCAAGGCCCTTTTGAGGAAGTGGGAAGGCAGGTGGTGTCCCAGGGGCTGGGAAGTGCATCCTGAAGGTTATGGGAAAGGGGACAAAGGGTGAAGACTTTGAACCTTCTGGAACCTTCTCCTTTGGGTCTTGTGAGGAAGGCACCTGTTTTCTCCTTTTCCCTCTCTTCCCTGATTTAACTTTGAACCCTGTCCTTCTGTTTTCTGGATCTCTCCTGTCTACTTTAACCCTGTGCCCTTTTGCATCTCTCCCAGAGTTTCTGGGTAATCTCTAGTGTTCTCACCCTCTGCTTCCTTTCTCTAACCCAAAATTCTCCTGTTCTGTCTGTTTGTGCCTAAGTCTTCAATCCCTCTGCTAGCACCTTTGCTCCTTCTATGGACTTTCCTCCAAGTCAGTTCCTCTCTTTCATCTTTTTGCATTTGGTGTTATAGTCTCCCTCTCTCTTCCTCTCTGTGTCTCTATCTGTGTCTCTGTCTCTGTCTCTGTCTCTCTCTCTCTCTCTCTCTCTCATTGAGTCACGGCGTCCCCCATACTTGTGTACCTTCACCTAAATCTCCTCCAACCAAGATGTTCAGCCTCTCTGGTTCATCTTTACTCAAGATGAACTCTTGTTGTTTTTCCCCAGCCCTGGCAAGTTTCCTCCATCCAAGATGTCGGGCCTGGTGTTGGGGCAGCGGGATGAGCCCGCAGGTCACCGGCTCAGCCAAGAGGAGATCTTGGGGAGCACCCGGCTGGTGAGCCAAGGGCTGGAGGCCCTTCACAGTGAGCACCAGGCCGTTCTGCAAAGCCTCTCCCACACCATTGAGTGTCTGCAGCAGGGAGGCCACGAGGAAGGGCTGGTGCATGAGAAGGCCCGCCAGCTGCGCCGATCTATGGAAAACATCGAGCTGGGGCTGAGTGAGGCCCAGGTGAGAGAGGAGGGCAGTTCCAGGTGCTCCAGAGTGCACGGAGGAGCAGTTGTCTGATTGGAGGTTCAGGGTTGCTGGGAATCACCTTGTCCTATATGCTTGCATTTGTAAATGCCTATTAAGCCTCTGTATGTACCAGGATCTCCTCTGTATACTGGGGAAACACCAGCAAATACAGTAATGAAAATCTTTGCCATCCCGGGGCTGATATTTTAGCTGGGAGAGACATACAGTACACAAGTAAATAACTTAGCATGCCAGAGTTATAGTTGCACACCTATAATCCTAGCTGCCTGAGAAAGTGATGCAGGAAGATCATAAGTTCGAGATCTGCCTGGGCAACTTAGTAAGACTAATGTCTCAGAATAAAAAATAAAAAGGGTCAGGGTTGTTGCTTAGTGGTAAACATGAGATGTGGTTCCATCCCCAGGACCAAAAATAAATAAGGCAGGGAAGAGCACTGAAAAGGTGATGTTTGAGCAAGATTTGAAGGTGAGAGAATGATTCATGCAGTAAGTAGGGAGACCGTGTCTGAGCAGAGAGGGAGAACAGCAAGTGCAAAGAGGTGACTCGGAACCTGGACAGCAAGGGACCAGTGCAGCTGCAGTAGAGTGGATGAGAGGAAAACACAGTAGAAAATCAAGTCTGAAGAATAGCGGGATTTGGAGAGGTGATGATGGACAGACGATGTGGAACTTGCAGGCCATCAGAGCGACTTTGCTTTTACTGTGAGATAGAAACAGTTGGAATGTTTTTAGAAGGAATGTGGTTGGTCTCTTACCGTCATCTGGCTGCCAAGCTGAGAGTAGACTCTAGGGGCAATTTGGGCAGAACAGGGAGGCCATCTGGGAGGCTATTATGGTTATTCAGGTGGGAGTTGGTGGCCTAGCCTAGGCTAATGGCAACAAGGTGGAGAGAGATTGGATTCAGGGTGTATTTCGAGGGGAGAGCTCCTGCTCCGTACTCCTGCCCACTGGCTCCTCTATGCCCTGTCAAGCGGGCCCCTCCTAGGAGGCTTCCTTTCTGCTTGTCCCTGAACACTCCATCAGGAGGCCTGAGCTCACAGGTTGCGCTTATCTAGGTGATGCTGGCCCTCGCCAGCCACCTAAGCACAGTGGAGTCGGAGAAACAGAAGCTGCGGGCTCAGGTGCGGCGGCTGTGCCAGGAGAACCAGTGGCTCCGGGATGAGCTGGCGGGCACGCAGCAGCGGTTGCAGCGCAGTGAACAGGCCGTGGCTCAGCTGGAGGAGGAAAAGAAACACCTGGAGTTCCTGGGACAGCTGCGGCAGTACGACGAGGATGGGCATGCCACGGTGAGCAGGCATGGGCCTGACAGGTGGGCCCATGATCGGGGGCAGTTGCCCCTCATCCTGAGGAGCCAGCAACAGTGCCCAGTCGGTGCCCACCTGGGAGAGTTCCTTTTCCAGTCCTGTCAGCAAGGGAGGAACTAGTCTTCAATCAGCCAGCATTTAATGGTGCCAGTCATTGTGTACTGCATTGGTGAATGGGAAGGCCGTGCATGTTCTAGGGGTCATAGGTTTGTGAGTGGGAAGAGACAAGCACTGGACACTCCAATCCCAAATCCTGAGTCCTCCAGTCAGATAAAGCATAGCCCAAGTTGCATGAGACCTTCCTAACATTTGCTCTCAAAGTGGATGAAATTCAAGGCTCATTGAGCAGGCATTTACAATGATATATGTCTCTCTGTGCCTTGTGCAGTGAAAGCGTGCAGAGGAGATGTAAAGGACCTTGAGAATAGCTAGGCGTGGTGCATGCCTGTAGTTCCTGCATTCGGAGTTGATGGATTTTGAAGGATGATGAGGGCGAAGAGGTGCTTCCCAGGTCGAAGCACTGGTCTGGGCCAGGGAGAGTGAGGGAGTGGTTTGCTTGGTGCACAGCAGTGAAGCTGGTAGGAGGCTGGAGGCTGGAAGCTGGAGGCTTTAGTAGGAGGCTGCATTCCTACTGGGAAAAGCACATTTTTCTAGTATGGAATGGGGTAGACAGAGAAGGCTGGTTACTGAGTCCAAAGCAGGCAGGGGCCGATGATGGGCACGAGGCTGAGCTGGACACTTTGGGTACGTGTCAGGAAGTTCAGACATGCTCTCTTCCTCAGGACAGACGGGTCAGACGTATAATCAGTGAAAACACACAGGGATTAGTACGTGGCTGTAATTGCAGGAGTTGAGCCAGAGGGAGGGGGAGGCTGGACAGCGAGGGTGGTAAGGAAGGGAACTTTCTGGGTGTGAAGTCCTAAGATCCTACCTCAATGTTTCTGACTTTTACAAATGAGAGGCCTGAGGGGGCTAAGCCAGATGTGGCCTTTCTCAGGGACAGAGGCAGGAACAAGGGTCTTTGCCCATCTGTGTGTGATTTTGTGGCTCAGAGGCGCCTCTGAGAGCCCACTAGGGCCTGGCATCCTGCTCTTCACTTCCAGGAGGACAAGGAAGGTGATGCCACTAAGGACTCCCTGGATGACCTCTTCCCCAATGAGGAAGAGGAGGACCCCAGCAATGGCTGTGAGTCTGCCTTGGGGATGGGGCGTGGAGAAGAACAGCGGGAGGTCTCACCAGGAAGCTCACTTCCTGTCCACTTCCTGTGGAGATAGGGAAGGGACCAGGCTCCTGCTTTGATTCCCTCTGCCTCCCGCTTCCTCCTTAACATTAAACACTTGATATGTGTCAGGCCCTGCAAAAACAAATGAAAATTATACAGGTCTTGGTGAGATTATACAGGTGGTGGTGGCGCACACCTGTAATCCCAGCACTTGGGGGTCTGAGGCAGAAGGTTCGGCATGAGTTTGAGGCCAGCCTGGGCTACACAGTGAGTTCAAGGTGAGCCTGAGCTACAAAGCCAGATCCTGTCTCAATAAACCCCACAGTAACGTACAACAACAACAAAAAAGGATTGGAGTGGAGGAGCTTGGTTGGGGTGTCAGCTAAATAAGGAGCAGGCTATGGGGAGGGCAGATGGCCATGGGGAGAGGAGGAGTCCCCTAAGTTTGCCTCCTGTCCCCACCCTGGGCTGCCTTAGTG